CCCCTGAGCCAATGGCAGGGTATGTGGGATCAGGCCAGCAAGTGGGTGAAACCCAACTCCACACTGACTGGAAAAACACTTCCCCCCTGGAAGGATGAACATTTGCAACAACATGGAGATGCTGGACTAGAGCGAATGGCAGGTGGCTCAAAAGTGTCTGCAGCAGTAGAATGGGTGGCTCAGAGACCCAGGACGATTCCCACTCATGGCCCATGGGACTGGGCAGTTGGGAGGCTGGGCAATGGGCACACGTTGGACACTTAGCTGGCTGAGACTGGTTGTGAGGGGCTGTCCCCAGTGCCTTGGATTTGTGGGGCACTGGCCTGGCGGCCCTTGAGCCAGCTCTATGAAGTCAGGGAGAGCTGATGATCTGTCTCCAGCCCCAAGCTCCTGCCCACCCTCCCTCCTTCCCACAGGCCACTGAACAAAGCTGGAGGGTGGACAGCAGCAGCAGGATGCTGTGAAGAGTCCCAGGATGAAAGGGGTCCAATAAAAGCACCCCCCAAAAAAGAAAAGTTTATTCATCCTGAACAGACTTGTCCTATAGTCTCATCACGTTGAAACTGATTTTTTTTTTAATCAAACATTTAACCGGCCTTTTCTATACTAACTTAATCTCAAATAACATATTTTCTCTTTAAAAAAGATATTCTCGCCCTGGCCGGTGTTGCTAATGGTTAGAGTGCAGACCCTTGCACAGAAGGGTCTCAGGTTTCATTTCCCTGTCAAGGGCATGTCTCTCCCCCTCCCCCCTCCCTTTGATTCTCTCTAAAAATCAATGGAAAAAATATCCTCAGGTGAGGATTACAATATATATTATATTATATTCTAATAAAAATTATAATTAAAATGTCATCATTTTGTAAAACCTCATAAAATATGGATCTAGACAATGGATAATGGGTCAATGGCCATGAACATCACAAAAAGAGAGAGACAATCAACATTCCATGACTGCAACTAAGGTACATGTCACCACCTTTGAAGCAGTTTTACCAAAAAATAGAAACAGTCAAATCAAGATCTGATTACTACTCACAGAAAATATGGGAGGCAACTAATCGATGTATCTCTCACTTCCATGTTTCTCTTCCCTCTTTCTCCCCCCTCATCACTCCTTTCCACTCTCTTAATAAAAAAATAATAAATAAATAAATAAATAAATAAATAAATAAATAAAATAAAAAGATCAATGGGAAAAATATCCTCAGATGAGGATTTTTTAAAAAATTCTAACGGGGTCACTAGTGATTTTTTTCAAATGGTACCATGAAATGAGCCAACATTTGAAAGATTTATGTAATTCTGTGAATCAACAATTTCAAAATCATGCAGGTGTATAAAGAGTCAAAGTGCAAGACAGACCAGTAGATTTAAATGTAACATAGTGAGACAAATTTATTGATATGCGTTCAGATTCTACTCTGCAACTTTACAAAATTGTCACTTGCAGAGTTTTGGTGTAATATCAAAGAGAATATCCACAATTATCTTTAAAAAATGCCATTAAAAAAACAAATGCTTATCTAATTATAATTTCAAGGCCAGTTGTAATAAGAATTTGTTTTTCCAAATGAAGGTCTTTATGAGGTGGACTTTCTTCATTTATTTCAGCCAAACAATAAATAACAACAGATTGAATGCAGAAACCTATATAAGAATCCAGCTGTCTTCTATTAAGCCAGACACTTTAAAAAGTTACAAAATGTAAAACAATGTCACTCTTTTCGAATACTTTAATACTATAGCTCTTTCTCCATAAAGAATTGTTATTTATGTTTACAAATAATGAGATTGTTCTTTTTTAATGAATACTCTAATTTTTCCAGTCTTAATTTCTAATTCAGAAAATATTGAAAGATCTAACCCAACATAAACAACAATCTTTAACAATTTTCAGGAGTGTGAAGTAGCACTAAAATCAAAAGTTTGAAAACCACATCACCAATGTTTGGAGTTCACAGGTCAAAGCTGTACTTACACAATTGAGCTTTTGGACATGGCCTTTTTCTTTGATTTCACCTTGAAACAAAACACCAAAATTTGGGAGCCCAATTGGGGAGTCAAATGACAGACCAAGACCAGGAACAACCACCACTTTTATTCCAGCTGTTACAACGTGGGGTCACAGAAATGAGCATAAGGGTGGTCTGTGGGGTCCTGCCTCTTCATATTCTGTCTCTTCATCTGAGTCTGGTTACAAAAGTGTGTCTGATTTGTTAAAATTCAGTGAGCTGCACACTTAGGATATATGCATCCCTACTATATCTGTATGTAGGATACGCATTTTTCCAGGTAGAATATACTTCAGTACATTTTTTAAATTCATAGTTCAAGTTGCACAATTTCCACTTTCCTTTTCCAAACACATGATGGCTTTCAACTAACCAGAGTCTTTACACATAACTTACTTTGGAAAAGCGTAACAAAAATAATTCAAATTTTTAATTTAAAAACCTCAATATATACAACTCTAACTGTTTGGAATTAAGAACTACATACCATCAGTGACAGCTACCTTACCAAGACTAAGAAGAGAAGTCTTTGCTTATTTCTCAAGTTTTCAAAACCAAATAAGTCACATTAAAAATAAAAAAATACAATGTAAAAAATGAAATCTTCCAATTAAAGGTGAAACTAAAGATGAATTCTTTTTTTTTTTTTTTTTTATCCTCATCCTCATCCAAGAATACTTTTTTCCATTGATTTTTAGAGACTGGAAGGGAGCAAGAATGGAGAAGGAAAGAGGGAGAGAACATCAATGTAAGAGAGACATATCAGTAATCAAACCCGAGATCCACAGGTACACAAGTCAATGCTCTAACCACTTAGATACACCAACCATGAATACACCAAGATGAATTCCCTTTAAGGTACTAAAGTTATCAAGAGGCCACTATCTATGCTACAAGAGGCAAAAAACAAACAAACAAAAAAAAAAACATAAAAATGCCAATTCAGCCCTAACGGGTTTAGCTCAGTGGATAGAGCCTGGGCCTGTGGATTGAAGGTTGGATTCCAGTGGGGGACATGTGCCTTGGTTGCGGGCACATCCCCAGTAGGGTGTGTGTGGGAGGCAGCTGATCGATGTTTCTCTCTCATCTGGGTTTCTAACTCTCTATCCCTCTCCCTTCCTCTTTGTAAAAAAAAATAATAAAATGTATTTTTTAAATGCCAATTCACACAAAGAGAAACCAACACAGCTAATAAATATATGATAGGATACTCAATTGCATTAGTAGCAAATAAGAACAGTAACATCACTCCATCTGGTACATCAGATTGGGGAAAAAATGATAAGGTCAGAAAATATCAAGTGCCAGTAAGAGTGTGGAAATAACAGCAGGCAAGAATGTAAACTAGCACAGCCATTCCAATACTCAGGCAGTACTTGATGAAATCACGTATATATCTGAGAGGGTCTTGGGCAGGGAAGAAGGAACATGAATGCGGATAGAAGATTAAGGTCAAAGATACAATAAAATGACAGGCTTTCCATGTACCAATAATGACAGTGAGCCATGACCTTGTTACCTATCTTAACGGGTTCACCACTTGGGGTACTCTTGCTTGGGCTCCTCTATTCAAGAATGAAATAATTTCCTTTTATTAGCAGCAAGCAAAAGGGAAGCTTAGCCATTGCTTCTCTACACGATTTAGTCAACTACATTGCAGGTGGCTATGTTTATGGGTTAAGTTTCTGTCAACCTCATTCTGTTTATAGCTGGTCTGCAAAATACTGTGCTATATTTTAACATGTAAAGAATAGCATTAAGAAATGCCCAAACATGAGACCCTTGTCTTATCTAACAAATTCAACATCCACTTAAGTCTGCACATCTGATTTTTGGGGGTGGAGGGAGGGCACACAACAGGGGGTCCCCACCTCATACATTCCTTCAATATGTATTAAGTTCCTCTACACAAAGTACTATGTTGGGAACACAATAGCCAAGATCAGGTCCTTGCCCATAGAGTTTACCTTCTAGCCAAGGAAACAATGGACATTCAACAAAATTATGATAAGAGTGTAATAGGACCACAACAGATATATGAGTGATTGAGATAGGAATAATGGGAAGGAGGGGTGCAACTTTTCAGAGGATTGCCAACAGGGAGTTGGCACTCAGATGAGCAGAAAGAAAATTAACCAGGCATTGCCCGGGCTGGGTAGCTCAGTTGGTTGGGGCATCGTCCTGATGTGCCAAGGTTGCCAGTTCCATTTCAGTCAAGGCACATACAAGAAGCAACCAATGAATGCACAAATAAGTGGAACAACAAACCTATGTTTCTCTTTTATCTCTATCTATTTTTCAGTCTCTTATCTCCTTCTCTCTGGCTCTCTCTCTCTCAAAATCAATTTTAAAGAAAAGATAATTAACCAGGCATTCAACAAGCTAAGCAAAGACATCTCCAAGAACTGCATTCAGAGTCATCAAATATAAAGTCAGCATATCACAGGTGATATACTATGTTCTAAAGATAACTTTTAGGTATTTCCTGCAACTAAACTCTCAGAAACAATATTTAAAGCTCCTGTTATATAAAGTGTGGACTACAATGATTACTGCACGAATCCAACTCATTTTGACCACAGAATTCATGCTTTTTAGGGGTGGAAGGCACCACGCATGTAAATATTCTATGTCTCTAAAAAATGTTTCTGGAAAATTACTAGGATCCACCAACTTTTGCTTCATTTGATAAGTAGAAATTGAGTACTCATGTATCTTTCCAGATTCTCGATCCTATTTTTTTCATATTGTACATTCATTGATTTTTATGATTAAAAGCTAACATTTTTGGCATGTTTGCAACCTTCCAGGCACTGTTCTAGAAGCTTTTGTGCCATTTGTTTTCACTCAATACTCACAGCAACATAATACTAATTATTCCCCCTTTAGAAATGAGAAAACAAAAAGGGGACATCTGTAATACTTTCAACATAAAGATAAATTTTAAAAGAAAAAGAAAGAAATGAGAAATCAGGTAAAAACAACTTTCCTGAAGTCATAGATTTAGTAAGTGGCAGAGCAGGGATTCAAATCCAGACCTTTCAAACTTCAAAGCCTAAGTTTTTAACCACTGCACTCAAATTCCCCCTCAACTCTTCTCAGTGGTTTCCAAAGGGTGGTCCCTGCACCATCACTGTTACCTGGGAATGTATTAAAAATGCAAAATATCAGGGCCCACCCCCAGACCTATTGAATTAGCAACTTTTATTTATTTTTTAAAAATATATGTTTTATTGATTTTTTACAGAGAGTAAGGGAGAGGGAGAGTTAGAAACATAAATGAGAGAGAAACATCGATCAGCTGCCTCCTGCACCCTCCCTACTGGGGATGTGCCTGAAACCAAGGTACATGCCCTTGACCGGATTCAAACCTGGGACCCCTGAGTCCACAGGCCAACCCTCTATCCACTGAGCCAAACCAGTTAGGGTGCAACCTAACTTTTAAAGTGTCCTCCAGGAGATTGGGAGGCAAGCTAAAGTTTGAGAGTCACTGGTCTAAAATTTTCATATTCAACTTAATTGCATGCATGTCAAATGATCACCATTTTGAAAATTCCAAAATGCAAAATTTTTATTCTATTCAAAATGCCTCTAAACATATCAAAATAACATTAATTCATTTCCTCATTGCCAACATTATAGTAACTCCTCCCCTAAATTTGATAAAACACTTTATCTGCATGTACTCTGATTAAACAACCCAAAAAAGAAGTGTACAGTGATGGGTCTTACCAGGAACTGAGCTAGATTCAAAACATGAACAGAACACAGAGATCCAATAGAATCTCTACAGTTAAACCAGAGCTGTATTAGGAAGAGGAAAGCACTATTATGATTATCAGCAGTAGAAGCTTGACGATCTTGGTCCACAGTTCCATAATACTTTGTATCCGTGGTTCAACTCCAAATTTTTACATCACTTCAACAAACCTCCATTTGCCAAAAAAATTTACAACACTCGGGAATATTTATCAAGATTCAAACTGTTTTCAGTAAACATATATAGGCCCTGTCTTTCAAAGAGCAAGTTTTTTCATGAGTAGAGCTAACCAAATGGTTTTACCATATATACTACAGCAAAAAGTGCTAAAGTTGTCGTTGGCCCTTACCTAGACCAGCCCTTTACAGCATCCTATCTCACCTCTTTTCGAATCAATATTTAGACCAACAGCCCTCTTTTCTCCCCCAACTCAAGTTCTCAATCTGGAGCCATGTATATCCAAGTTTGCCTAAAATGGGTACTGCTGCTTATCAAAGCAACAGCTATGTTTTCTCATGTCCCTTCTCTAACAACCTCACCAAGCTAACCGTGGAACAAGCAAGCTTGAGGAACAGCTCCTACCATCAACAGGGTTCATAAGTGAAGCAGAGTGATAATCATGCTCTCCTAAGAGATAAGAAAGATATAAATGAGCGTTCAAAGAAAAAAACTTACACATGCCTGATAAGGACCAATAAATCCACATTCTTGTCTTGGTTCCTGGCCACAAGAAGAACCAGAGAGCTTTTTAGTAGAAGTTACTATTTCTAAAATTACCGACAATTCCCTTCACTTTAAATTAAGCTGTTGTTTTTTTTCCATCTAAATAATCTCATTTGATAAAACTGACTTAAACTACTGATTGCAATTTCCTCTAAAGTGCAATTACAACAGAATCAGTTATAGAACATTTGTACCTTTGTCAGTGAAATGATCTAAGAAAAAAAAATTGATTGAATTCTCCAAAAAGCATTACCCAGTGCTCCATCTGGTGGGAGTTGATAAAGGGCAGAGATACTACTATGTTAAGAACACAAGCAACTCTGGGGAGGGAGGGTATGTATGTATGGGAGGGGGGCAAAAAAAAATCAATAAAATATATTAAAAATAAATAAATAAATAAATAAATAAATAAAATAAAAAATAAAAAGAACACAAGCAACTATTTTATAAAAAGTCTAAATCTTCTTGCAATTTCCCACACTTCAAGAAAGCTATGACCATCAGAAGACAGGGCTCATTTTCCATACAAATTGACAGATGATAAAGGTTTCTTTATGGAAATGTTTCCTTTGGTGTTGGAAAAAAAAAAGAGGTAGATGACAGGGCTTGGATGCTTAATATCCTACATAAGTCAATTATGTCAAAACATACATGGTACATGCAACAGATGCATTTACCACGAAAACAAGAGATAATTTCACGATTAAATCTATTTCATTCAGATATTCATAAAACATTTTCATGTTCTTGATGATTAATAAATTTAATATAACAATTCTGAGTGCCCCAAGCCATGACATCATTTTAAAGGTTCCTCCCAAATAATCACCTAATACTACTCTCCATGAACACTACACTCCCTTCCTTGATTTATTTTGATTAAGGAAGAAATGATTTTTACATTTTCAACCTTCCTACCAAATTAACAGAAACAAAGTCATAAACTGTGACCAAAATACATTAGACTTCATTTTATTTGCCTTATGCATGTTTATTCAATTCAAATTTAGAAACACTGCAGAAGTCCACTGATGCAAATATAAATAAGGTTCTCTAATTTGGAACACCTCCGGAAATTTAAAATAAAAGATTTTCACATAGCACCACTCAGTTTAGTTTGGTTTGGTTTTGCCTGTGTGGAAAAATACCTCTGTGATGTAATCCAGACTATCTGCAACCTCAGGTGAAAAAGAAAAAGACAGTATTTCTCTACTGGGAAATAAACTTCTCCATCTCTGACTCATATCCATGTGATCATATGGGTTGCAGAATCTTACTTGATGTTGGGTACCCTGCAGGGTCCTGGATTAAATCCATTACAGGTACAATATGGAGCAGCAGGAGTCAAGTAACCTGGGGCAGAGCTCCTTTCATCTTTAGGGCATTGAGTTTATGTATCTGTAAAACAAGCATGATAAATACTCTCTGCCTCCCGGAGGGCAGGAGGATACTAAAATTTACACCATGCTTTGAGCTTCTCAATTAAAAGAACTAAATGAAAAAACTACTATGTATAAGAGCGCACACCTGGAGGGGGGGGGGGGCGGGGGGGGGCGGGGGGCCGCAGGTGGGGGCACGGCCTCAAGAGTCCTCACTGGGCCATTACTGCTAAAACCTGGAGACCTTCACCATTGCTCTTGTGAACAAGTGGGGGATGAAAAGGATATATTAAACACGTCAAAGAAAAGGTAAGAGTGATTCAAAGTGCTTCTTTATAAGTAAATCAAATCAAGTAATTGGTTAGGACTCGTCTGCAAAGTGTCCCTGCATGAGTAGCAGGTGCATCCCTAAAACCTGTTTTTTAAAGAGGCCTTTAAAAAATTTTTTTTTGAAATCTGTTTTTAAAAATATTAGAAAAACCCGCCGGTGTGGCTCGGTGGTTGAGTGTCAGCCCATGAAACGAGGTCACTGGTTCGATTCCCGGTCAGGACACATACCCGGGCTTTGGGCTCGATTCCTGGTAGGCGGCGTGCAGAAGGCAGCGATGGATGATGTTTCTCTCTCACAGATGTTTCTATAGCTCTCTATACCTCTCCCTTCCTCTATCTCTTTAAAACACCAATAAAAGCATTTTAAAAATATAAAGAATTATCAAGAGAAAAAAGGAGTCATTCTACTGGTACCGCTGAGTGACAGAAACCAGGTTCCACCCCACAAGCCTTTCAAACCTGCAGAGGCATTCCTCCCTCATCAGCATTCCTCCCCCGGGTTGCTATCGCGCCGCTCCCCACTTCAGGGCAGACAAAGGTGAGTCACCCCGCTTCTGTCTGCTTGTCACTCGGGAAAAAGCCTCAAACTAGTTCTCGTTAAAGGCAGCTTTTAATTTAAAAGAAGTAAGCGATGCTAACGTGTAAAGCTCACTGCAAAGCGCCTGACTCCAGAAAATGTAATTAACACTTCCCAAGTAGAGATACCTACTCAATTAAAAAAGAGAGAGAGAGAGAGAGAGAGAGAGAGAGAGAGAGAGAGAGAGAGAGAGAGAGAGGCTTTCGTTAAATTGAGCGCTTATCGCTACTATCAGCGGGTCCTTTCCCTGGGGTGCGCGACTCTGACTCAACTCCGCGGCGTCTCCCTCCAACCTGCAGGTCCTCGCTGGGCCCAGCCGCCCCGCGCGGAGGTCCCCAGGGGTCCCGCCCGCAGCGGTCGAGCCCCACACCCATGGGTCCCCTCCCCGATCCGCCCCCACCTAGCCCCTCCGCCAGGTACCGGCGGGCTTCGGGGGCGGGGGAGCCCCAAGGCGGGCGGGTGTCTCCGGGTGGCGGGTCCCCGCCGCCGCCGCCGCCTCCGGCCAGAGCAGCAGGGGGAGCAGATCCCACCGCCCGCACCCGGCCGGCTGCTCCCCTCGGCATTGCAGCCCCGACGCCCCATTACCTGCTCTGGGCGGCCGCGGCCGCGGGAGGCGTGCTCGCTCTGGCCCCTGCAGCCCCGGGCTCCGAGGCAACGAGACCGACCGCAACAGCGCCGCTGCAGAGGACAAACAGAAGCCGGCAGGCGCGGAGAGCCGGATCCCAGCGGGAGCGGCCCCCACCTCCAGCCCCGCGAGTAGCCACTCACCCCTCCCTCCGCGGGGCGGGACACCGCAGAGGGGAGGGGCGGAGCCACGGCGGAGGGGCGGGGTGGGGCCACGGCGGAGGGGCGGGGCGGGGCCAAGGCGGAGGGGAGGGGCGGGGCGGGGCCACGGCGGGGGGAGAGGAGGGGCCACGGCAGAGGGGCGGGACGTCCCACTGCGGATGGGAGGGACGGGCCACGGTTGAAGGGGCGGGGCTCCGCGGACGCTTTGCATGAGGCTCTCCTGATAGGCTGCATTAGGGGTAGGCCTGTCAGACTCGAAAACCGCCTCGCCAGAAGAGCTCTCTGAATAGTGGGTTAGAGAAAACAAAGCAGAGCCCTGATTGGTGACAGCGCTGTGGCTCCCCCACTGTCAATCATCGGAAGCCCCGCCTGCACCCGCCTAATTCCCAGGCTGCTGCAGAACAAGATGTGGTTAGTCACTAACCTTTAGTGGACCTACCTGCACAAAATCCTGGGCGCCCAGGTTCCTTTGTCAGCTATGAACTTCCTTACCCTACAGTGATTCTTTGATTTGCATATGAACTTGGTGAGTAACATCTCACCTTTAACATCATTTGGCCATTGAGAAGTCTCATGGGCATTTTTTAAACGCTAATAAGATTCAGAGGGAAATTATATGCAAAGAATAGACATAAAATATTTTTACCTGATAAGATTATGCGTGTCTTTATTGCCTTTCTGTGTTCCATATGAAGCATGCATTACTTTTATAATTTTAAAAAATTAGTAAGGTGCAGAGAACGGTAAAGGCAAACTTTTGAGGATATCCGGTGAACTAATTCCTCCACGATGCAAGAAAATACAATAATATATGCAACAGCTGAGTGCCATCAATGTATAGACATCAGCCCCCTTCTGCTCTCTTAGAAAATTTTACAAATATGACTGATGTGCCCTCTACTGTTTCCTGAGTAACTACCATTTATTCAACGTACAGTGAATAATACACTACACTGTGAACAGATCCTACCTGACAAGAAGAATTTAGAGTCCAAAATACCAAATGAATAAAGCTTTAATCAAAATAAGTAGACAACAGTTCTGGTTTTGATCAGGGGTTGAATGTGGACCCATGAACCAGGCAGTCATGGTTAGATTCCCTTTCAGGGCCCAGTAGAGGGTGTGCAGGAGGAAGCCCATGGATGATTCTCTCACTGATGATGTTTCTATCTCTCTCTCTCCCTGACCCTCTCTCTACCTCTCTCTGAAGTCAATAAAAACATGTTTTTTAAAAGTAGACAATGGAAATTAATTCAGAAGTTGTAGATTGGAAAACTTAGCTAATACAGGGAATTATAAGAAAGAAATGTGACAAAGTTTCAAGATGTGTCTCAGACTTTGAAAATTGAAAGCAGGAAGGAGGAGGAGGGAGTTGAGATGATTATCAATGACCCATAGTTAAGTAATCTGAGCTTCAGACCACATCAGCCAAACCTTCAGTCACCATATCTTACCTGGGACCACACTCACTTAACTATGTCTGGCTGTTTTACTATTCAATTTTTCTTGTAATTCCCATGAGTTTCTGAAATATGCTATTTGAAATGAAGCACTTCCCCCAACAACTCTATACATTAAACAGTAGTAAGTAAAAAAAAAAAAAAAAAAAAAAAAAAAAAGGAGGTTGACTCAAAACAAACCTAAGGAAAGGAATGTTTAGGTAAACATGAACTTGTAAAGAAGTAAGGACAAGAAACCTGATACAAATTCTCTTTTCTCTCTTTGTGCTGAGAATAAGGACAGTAAAGTAATTACTTAACAAATATTTTACAGAATCCTTATAATACATGACTCTTAAACAAAAGTCTAAAAATGTGTCCAGGGTACTCTGAGCAAGTGACTTAGTGTTCAGATGTAATTATGACTACTAGTAAGTATATAAGTGAGGGGGAGGAGGAAGAGAGAACTTGGCCAGCTAGCTCAGTTGGTTAGAGCATTGTCTCATACACTAAGGGTTTCAGGTTCAATCCCCAGTGAGGACCCATACAGGAAAGGGGTGGTGGGTGGGAAGAGATTAACCAAAGAATTTATATGAATTTATGCATTGCCTAGGGACATAGACCATAGTGTGTTAAAGGCCTGGGGTGGTCAGGAACCAAGTATAGGGGGGTAATAGGAGGAAAGTGGGGGGGGGGGGGACATCTGTAATACACTCAACAATAAAGATTCAAAACAAAACAAAAAAATTAAGAATTGAGGAAAACATTAAGAATTAATAAAAGAACTTTGTGATGACTCAGGTGTTTGTTATACTCTATTATTTTCTGCATATTTTGATATAGATTATAATAATGTTTTAGCAATGTACAATATCTTTAAATGGAATTTGTTTGCTTTCTTTTTATTATTCATAGAATTTAGTGAATAGGTAATAAAATATTTGTTTATTGGTTTGTATTAAAAGAGTTACAAGAACAGCAACAAAAGAATGCACAAATAAATGAAACAACAAATAGATGTTTTTCTCTCTCCCTCTCTAAAATCAATAAATAAAAAATAAAACAAGATGAGGTAAGTTGAACATACACTAGTAGCAAGCTTATAAGAGATACAGCCCCACTATGGAGGGCCAGTCAGAGAGAATGCTGGGAAATGTCAGAGTATTAAGCTAAAAGTGGCAGGTGAATCAAAAGAAACAGCAGCTAAACAAATTTTTTAAAGTAATTTAAAATGTAATCTTTAAAATATTACTATATGGCACAGTGCTTCAAAGCCATAGAAAGTAATCTCTGCATGCCAATAATAGAGTTCGAAAGTTAATTATAAATACAGAGGTGTTATCAGTGTTAGGCAGACATGAGCAGAGCAAGGACAATGGACCAGGTACAGAAACTCACCAGGACAGAAAGCCCTGGATGCGTGCAAGGGGCAAAACTGGAAAGCAAGGACCTGGCCCCCAGGGTAACCTGTCATTCCCTAGTATATCCCCTTTCCCTCGAGATAACATCTAGGCCTCAGTTGTATTTCAGCTCCAGCCCAGAAAAGCAGCAAAAACAGGCAAGTGCCATAGTGGCTGCCTCAGGACCAGCCATGTTGACTAATGACCCCCTGTTCTGGCATGGACCAATCAGTGGAGATCAGAATCCTGAAAGAGCACACCTGGAAAGCTGACGAATATTCTATTGAGACCCCTCCCTAAGACCTCCCCTAAAATCCATCAGCAGAGAGAGATAAATACACTCAGGATGAAGGACCCAGCTGGCACTGTCCCCCAGGGGAGTGCACTCACACCATTCCCTTACCCCCTTCTTTGCTCTAAGGAATCCCAGAGACTTGTAACCCAGGGAGCAGTGGGCAGTGGCAGTTCATCCCAAGCTAACCCCCTGAGCCTGTCTCCAGGGCCCCCTTTCCTCTGACTTCTCAGTGAGCCAAAGCAGCCCAGCCTGGGCTCTACTGTTATTTCTTCTATGCCCTTCTGTGTTTCTCTGTCCTAAGTATATTTTTGCTGTGGCCAATAAATTCTTACTAACTTTGCTATACTTTATCTTTTGATTGAAGCCTAAGGAATCCAAGGGAAAAAATAAGTCAGCCCTCAGGAAGGCCAGCAGCCAGGGCTGGAAAAAGCCATAAGGGTCTCAGCCGAAGTTTTCTCTGTTTTCAAACCTGCCTCTTTCTACAGTTCTGCTCTATTTTTCTCTGGAAATCAATTTTCCCAGCTCCAAATCCATGAGTCAGATTAAACTACCTCCCGCCACACACAGAGATTGAGTCAACCCCATTGACTGAATCTCATACTCTATAGAGAAAGAATGTTATTGGTCCAGCCGATAATTTTTATTGGTCTCCCCTTCCCTCCACCCCAGCACTTATGACTAGGGAGGTGACGGGGAGGCATGTTGATTCGGACAGAGATTTCCCAGAGAACAGGCACTGGGCAGACTAGCAGATAGGGACATTATATCCTTTGTGTTTTTGAGGGAGGTTTGCTCATTTGTTTGTTTTTTAGGGGTAGTTAATTTCATTTATTTATTTTTACTTTAAATAATTTTTATTTTGCAATTATACTTGACATACAATATTATAATAGTTTCAGGTGTACAACCTAGTGATTAGAAATTATATAACTTACTAGGTAATCACCCCAATAAATCTTGTACTGGTCTGACACCATAAATAGTTGCTACAATGTTACTATATTCCCTATGCTGTGCTTTACATCCTGGTGACGATGATTCTTTAACTACCAGTTTGTACTTCTTAATCCCTTCACCTTTTTACCCCCAATCCCCCTCTCATCTGGCAATTGTCCAAATGTTCTCTGTATCTATGAGTTTGTTTCTCTTCTGCTTGTCCCTTTAGTTTGTTTTGGTTGATAGGTATTTAGTTATTGATAGGCATGCATTTATTGCCATTTTATTATTCATATTTTTCCTTTTTTTTTTTTTCCTTTTTAAAGCAAACCCCTTAATCCACTGTTTTCAATAGTCAGTCAATGGGGCTCTATTATCTATTCAACAAAGGTCTTTGCCTGTCTTTTCACACTAAAATGAATGCCCAGAGACCAAGGCCAAAACCTTTGATGTTGATTTCTGGCTTTCTTGAACTCTCTCTATTTCAACTGGCTTCCAGTGCCAAGTACCCTTCTTTTTCCAGTTTCAAGTTGCCATTCCCATTTACATCTTCTACTAATTCCTGATGTCCCTGTCGAAGTGTTCCTCTTGGCCTGAGTTTATTTGAAGAGCAAAAGCACGTGCCAAGTTGTTGAATGCCAGAAATAGTGCTCTTGTCTTCTATGGGGCCAGTATGTAGAACAAGCAGGCAGAAGGCCAAGCTTTGCACCTTCAAAATCTATTCACTGCACCTTAAATATGTATTCAGTGGGATATCTGCCCATGGGCCTGAATGAAAATTTGAGTGGTCCCATAACTTTTTTGGTGGTTCTTTGATTGGTTTAAACCACAAAATACAGTTTTAAATTCAGACATTTTAATGTGAATGCTAATGATCACTATTTCAAGCTTCATTCAACCATAAGCCTTCCTTCCAGTTCCCCAGC